AAAAAAAAAAAAAAAAAAAAAAAAAAGACTGAAGTCTCTGACTTTTTGATAAATGGATTCTGCTTATACCAAAGAGCACAGATTCTTTTTCTCAGATTAAAATCTTTGCTTCGCTTCTTCTGAAACATAATTTCAAGATAGCTTTTGATTAAAAACTGTAATACAAACGCTTGTTATTAAAAAGATGAACAAGCTAAAATAATGAAGCAAACCACTTATACTGTGACAAAAACTAAAATGAAAACATTTTTACTACATTTCAAATGATTCCAGCCTTGCAGGTTCAAGGTCCTGAGTTCGATCCCTGGTACGGGGGTGGGGGTGGGGACAAAACAAAACAAAATAAAACCCCCAAAACAGACCAAAGCAAAACAAATTATTCCAATTTCTCTTTAAGCCTTGAAAATTGTTAGGAATTATAGCTTTAAGCAACAATGAATTAGTGAAAATCATAATTACTTTACAATTTAGTTTTATTACTATCAAGTAGAGGCCTCCCTGTGATCCTGAAGGGAAAATACTTGGTTGTTAACAGTAAATTCCAGTTTATCGCACAAGGTCCAGGGTTTGAACCCAACACCTCCAAAAAGCCCATAAAATGTAAGCACCAATGACAATAAAGAACAATTTAAAATTTGCTTATTAAAACAGGATTTATTAGTGCCAGGGATTTAGCTCAGTGGTTCCTTCATCTGCCTCGCACAGGCAAGGTCCCAACTTCAATTTCCAGTACCAAAAACAACAGCATCAACAAGACAGGATTTATTAGTAGCTATTAAGTAAAAAAAAACTCTCAACTGAATTGTAGGAACTGGGACAACTAAGTGACTAATAACTGAACCTCAATGGTCTAAACTAATTACTGACATTGCTGATAAACTTTCTCCTTATAATGTCTTAGGAGTTCTTCTGAAACTTTTTAAGTGTACAACTTGAAAAAGCAAAAAAAATGTCTGACCCTAATTCTCTCACATATTTCTTTCCCTGCCCTCCCTTCCCTTTTATCAGACAGGGTCTTGGTGCATAGTTCTGTTTTAGTCCAGGCCACCCTTGAACTCGGTATGTAGCTCAGACTGGCCTCTAACTTGTGAACTTCTTGCCTCAGCTTCTGCAGTGCTGGGATTACAGGTATGTACACCATCCTCAGCTTCACATATTTCATAAGACATTCTAAATAAAAAGAGCAAAAGATTACTATAACCAAGGATCACCTTAAGTAAACAAATTTTTAAAAGTAAATTTAATCCAACTCTTACTGGATGAAAAAGCAGCAGCCTGCAATCACTAATGTAATACTGATTCTAGTAAGGATCATAAATAGATGACAAAATTTCTCAGATTAAAGAACGTTGTTGAACAAGACATTTTTTGGTTATTAGTAACTTAATTTCAAAGGTATGTTTACAACCCGCACTCTACCTGTAACCAAGTGACCAAATTTAACATCACCAATAATCAGACAGGTTAACATTTCATATGTCCTGATGAAATGGATCCGAAGAATATTACCTATGCTATATTCCTCCCAAAATGTTTAGTCTAAATCTAACCCTAAGTGTAGTGTGTACTATTCTATAAGAGAGCTAGTTAAAACTCTTCAAAAATACTGATATTATGAAAGAAAACACTGGGGAAATTACAGAAGACTAGAGAGATATCAGTGTTATATTTGATTATATTCTGTATTTTTAAAAATTATGAGGAATATTTATGGAACAGCTGAGGACACTTATTTGATATGAATATGGTTAGTACATTACATTGTTTTATCCATTTTAAATTTCTTAGGTATGATAAACACACTGGGAAGGGCAAAAAGGAATGGGAAAGGAGGAGAAGAACAAAGAGCAAGCAAGCTAATAAATGTGCCAAAATGTTAAATGGCGAGCCAGAAGGCTGTGTAGGAATTCATTATACTATCTTTACACTCTTATGTTATAAAAAATTTTTTTTAGCAGGCCTTTTTTGCAGTGAAGTTCTGTACTTAATATGTATATGGATAGCTATAGATATGTACATATTTTTGTTGAGACAGGGTCTGCCTCTGTAGTGCAGACTGGTCTTGAACTTGCCTTTCTCCTGCATCAGCCTCCTGAGTGCTGGGATTACAAGTACAGCTGTTGTATGTGTTAATAATTTAAACCGTTTTTGATTAAAAAAACAAAAACAAAAACAATGTAGTGCTGGGGATTGAACATAGGGCCTCATGTATGCTAGGCAAGCTCTTTACCACTGATCTACATTCCCAGCTCAGGACTCATATTTTCACAGTATTATTGGGGAAGGGAAACTCTTATATAACAATATGTCATAATTAGCAAATACTGTATATTATATTCTCTTTTGAAATAAATGAGGTAAAAATCCCTCACTTTGAAGTATAAAGAACAGGACACAGAAGACATTATTCTGTTAAAGGAAGATTCTTCCTGCTATACCACGCCAGGCAGTGTGCATTTCTGGCTCTCCTGAAATGCTTTCTTTTTTGCTTAATAAGCCAGTCACCTAGGTTGTGTTCTGGGGTAGAGATACTGCTGAGGGCCCAAAGGTGGACCCACAGCTCAAAGCATTTGAACTCTGGAAGTTTTTCCTAGTTCCCTTAAGATTCTGCTGTTTCTACTGAATATGATATTAAAATGTAGTAAAAATGATATTAATGATATTAAAGTAATAATGTTAAGAGAAGTAAAAGTCTATTTCCTATAGTCTATTTTGTTTTCTTTTCATGCTGGAGATGGAACGGAAGGCCTGGCACATGCTAGATATTCACTATCACTGAGCTAGACACCCAGCCATTTGTGGTCTGTTTTAATTTTCAGCCAGAATGACCCACTCGATAAAAACCCAGATGCCCAAGAAATTTCAATGCATGAAAGTAAAAAACTATTGAGTTTTGGCTTAGTGAAGAAGCTTCTATTTA